GGGCGGTACAAGGGGAAACCCCGCGGATCCGACTGTTTCGTAGCGGGGGCGCGTGAGAGAACGAAGAGCGAACAAGGGAGTCATCCGGATTTCGTCCCTTCGTACCACCGCCCCCGCGCTAAAAGCGACGCTTCCTGTACTCTTATGCCGAAAAGAGGCTCGATTTATTTCCCCGGGTGGTCACACATCGGCCCGACGCATCGCAGCGTCGACGAAATATCTCGGGGTGGCCCCGAGACGAAGTCTCATCCCTTTCTTCCTTCCTCGAACCGTGCGTTTCCGTCGGTTGACACGAGCACTCGCGACGCGACCGGGATTTCTTGATTGTTAATGATAAATAATAAAACTAATTATCCACGGTTAAAGACAGAGGCACGTCCGTGAATGAATATTATACCTACAGACACAGCGGTGTGCTAGTAGAATCGAACGGACGTACTAGTTGACATTCCGAAGCGGAGCTTCCCGTTCCGTTCGGTCTCTCTCGCAGGCTCGCTCCTTCGTAACGCGGCGATCAGGAATTTTAAGACCGCCCCGAGATTTTTCTCGTGACTCTCCGACCGAGGGCTATAGAAACCGTCCGCGTGAATGAGAGAAGAAAAGGGTCTGCGGGCGAGCGAGCGAGAGAGGGCGAGAGGAGCGCCGCTGAACGCTGCAGTTTATTTCGGTCGGGTTAATTAGTGTTGCCTCGCGAGGTTTACGGTTGACATTTCGTTGGTCGTTCGTTCGTTCGTTCGTTCGTTCGTTCGTTCGTTCGTTCGTTCGTTCGTTCCTTCGTCCTTTCGTTCGTTCATCGTTCTACGGGGGAGAACGCGGACGGAGAAGGTGAGGAGGAGAACAGACACGGAGCGACTACGACGCGGAGGGGCAACCGTGGTGGAGGAGGAGGAGGAGGAGGAGAGAAGGGAAGGGGGCGCAGGGGAGACCGGCTTTTTTACGGCAACATACTGGTCGGCCATACCGTGTGCCGAGGAGGAAGACGAAGTCGGCGCAGAAGTGGTGGTGTAGAGGAGGAAGACGACGAGGAACAAGGACGTTCCGACCAATAAAACTGCAGTGCCCTTCGAAAGTACCCCGAAGGCGCCAGGGCAGTCTGGACCTCCCCTTATTAGCTTCTTTCTTTCTACCTTAGCGTGCCCGTCCGCTCCGCGTAACAACCTTTTGTTTTATTCCGCGGTGTGAATATCGCGCCGTTCACCACGGCATTCGAATTAGACCCACTTTTATGATTCCGCCGCGGCATAGAGCAGCCTAACACGGAAAGAGGGAGAGAAAGAGGGAGAGGGAGAGGGAGGGAGGGAGAGAGAGAGAGAGAGAGAGAGAGAGAGAGAGAGAGAGAGAGAGAGAGAGAGAGAGAGAGAGAGAGAGAGAGAGAGAGAGAGAGAGAGAGAGAGAGAGAGAGAGAGAGAGAGAGAGAGAAGGAGAAAATAGCGGAACACCATGTGTCTGCCGGGAGGATCTCATAGAGTCGTCGTAAAAGCCAACCGAGAGGTGTTACGACGGTATAATGTAATAAGCTCGATGTGAATGTGGATTCCAAAAGGACCGCGGATTCGACGAGAGAATAATAAGGCGAACATCGAGCTCGCGCCGATCGTGCACGGCGAGTTTCTCGCGTAACGATAGACTCGCAGAAGCTTTACTTCTGCACTCGTTGCTAGAATTGAAGAGTGGCAAATAGAAAGATTTAGAAAGAAGCAGACAGAGAGAGAGAGAGAGAGAGAGAGAGAATACTTGCAATGTTAACTGGGTCGATGGCGAAATAAAGGAGGGGATATGTGAGTGCTTCAGGAATGGGGGCGGGCAAATAGGAAAAAAAGGAAGGAAGGGATAGTGAATGGTTTGTGCACCTTATTAAGCATTCTTATCGCCAGAGTCGGCCCAAGTCGACACAGCCGTTTAAATTTTACTCGAGTAGCGAACAAGTGGCAGACTAGCCGGGAGATAGGAGGGTTCTTCTTCTGTTAGAAATGGCTCGTCTTATCAGACTCGAAAGACGGATACCTCGATGGCTGTAAAACGTGTCGGAACGTGCCTGCACCTTGACCATAGTTATCGTGACCGAGATTTACGACTGCGTTGTCCAGTTTGTAGGACAGATGAATCTCTGATACTTCCTCGTAACGACACTGGACTCTCATCGGCACGCTTTTCCCTTTTTCGTTGTCCCGAAATGGGTCGGTCTAAGGTTTGCGGAAATTATGTGTTACGACACACACACACACACACACACACACACACACACACACACACACACACACACACACACACACACACACACACACACACCACACACACACACACACACACACACACACACACACACACACACACACACACACACACGCACGCACGCACGCACGAGGCCGCAAACCGGGGCTGAACACTCCGCTATGTGAAAGATTACACGTTGTAAAATTTTACGGAAGGCAGTCGTACGTGCGTTCGTTAGCCTCGCAATATCGCTACTTCTGTCCGCAGAGTCATATGTGATGGCGTAACACAGCGCGAGTGTAACAATAAAAAGTGACGGACCGCGAGTACTGTTTCATCCCCGTAATCATAAATGTTACGTCCAACGACGAAATAAATGGGCATTCAACATCCGCGAGTGATATTTTCACATTGCGCGCCAGCTGCCGCCACATTTCATTTTGTCAGCTCCACGTCCGATGCGTAATTCTTCTCGTTTAATTATTCAACATTCGCGCGCTACATGATACGATCCACGGGCGGGGAACAGCCGCTTATTAGGCTGAGCGTAGAAATAGTTGGCTACCGGGACGGAATAAGGATTTCCCGTCATGTCGAGTGGACGGCACGCCTGCTTCTTTGTGTAATTCTTCTCTTTTGATTATTTAATGTCCGTCCAGAACACTTATATTGCGCGAGAATAGAACGGCCATGTTTCCTCAGTTGGGCGTAGAAACATCTTCAGACATTCGAGATAGGACAAGGATCATCCCGATCTCTTGGGACATCTTCAGCTTACCTTGTCCCTTCGATTGAGTTCGATTTTCTGAACAATCTAGAGACTTTTTAGACTAGCTCAGGAACATGGATCATCTCGCAAATAATTCAATTGATGTAACTGATTTTTTCTCAAAAGTAAGAAGCATGTATACTATAACTTAAAGATCACAAGGATCAGTTGTTTAGTTCACGCCCATAGCAGGCATAGGGAGACATCGTCCCAAGGGCGTGATGTAAGACGACAGTCAACTGGTCACATTTTGGGCGTTGACAGACTGTGAGAACAAAAAATATTACATTCTCCGTTGTCGAGAGAACGATAATCGTTCAAGGTTACATGTGTATTGTATGTTCCAAACGATGAAGAAAACGCCGACTCTGTGAAAAGGATCATCGTGACTTTAGACTGACTCTTTCAGCGTGAATAACAAAGATAGATTTGAAGGGCAGGATTTTTACGAAATGTCGCTATTATGTCCTTAACTGTTCCCCATAGGGAGTGATCGACTGATCACTACTACACACAACAATAAATCACCACAAGGGACCTACGGACATTCCGACGAGGGTACACAGGTATATGGAATGTTCACAGAAGAATGTTTATCTCGCAAAGACCTCGTCGATGTGTCGGTTAATCCTACTGACTTCTAATTCTAATAACAGTGGATTATAGTCGCAACTAATATTTCTGTCCCTCCAGCCGCGTTTATCCTGAGAAACGTCCTCGTCAGGACGTTTCTCAGGAGGGAAATAATCCTTAGTTTTAGCACAGACGAGCAAGTTTGAAGCCTTTTGAATAATCAGGACAGAAGCCTAATATTTGCAAGTGTTCTTCACACTTCCCATTTATCTTGGACGTTAAACGCAGATCGTGGACGATCAAATAGTTTTAATATTGCGGAGAAAAAAGTGAGAAACTAATTTGTGGGAATCATTATCAATTAGGTATCGCCGATAAATCCGAAATGAATAAGCCCTACGGCGCTATATCGGACGGTTCGTCGGTACGTTTTGGGGCCAGCCGTTGTTGGGCGAAATGGGGATGATAATTGGATCTTGTAGCCGCGCGGTGAAAACTCTTGCGTATGAGTGAACAACGCTTACGCTAATATTCAACGGACAAATATTTCGTGCGCGGTTAATGGTCTTGGCCCATCGCTGCGGCTTAATAACCCGTGAAATTATTCCAAATGGCACGGTACCCGGATAAATCCCGCGGCTGATCTTCCCGGCGTCCATCGCTCGTTAACTTTCCAATGGGAGAACGATAGGCCAGAACAAATGATTGACTTACGCACTTTGCTTACCGTCAAGGACTCACTCTACCGTACCGTGGAGTGCACTCCACCGATTGCGCCTCCAGCACCGGATGGGTACCACGGCCCGTGGAATCTGTCGGAACGCGGCTGGGAGGAAATTTTCATTTTGTCTTACATTTTCTACGTGTTGCCGAGGGCCCCAGTCGTGCTAATGTTTCGCGCAAAGGGTTCCGCTATCTCGCGAATACCGGACAATGGGCGCGATGTATCGGCTGAAAGTAGTCACTCCTCCACGGGGCGGCGCGCGAGCGAGCGAGAGGAGGGCCGCGGAGGGTTCGCGGATTTATTTAAGTCCCTCGCCGTCAGGTTGACAAGAGTGGAGTCGCGTAAACATACTCGTTTCTCCTTGTTCAGCCGCGGCCGTGCGCGTCCCGTGGCGAAGCGGGGTGCCGCGACGCGACTCGTCGGATCGTTCGCCGGTGGTTCCGTCGGCCGGGTGGGGGAGTCAAAAGGCGTCGCGACGTCAATGGGCACGTTCGAAAAATACCGCCGCCCGCGCGCCAGACGTTCACGACCATTCGCGGCAGGCCAAATAACCCGTCAACTCCACCCGCTGCCGAGCGATTGGCCTGTCCCACGCGAGACACCGCCCACGACTCGCCGGTGGGGGCACGCTATGCTTTCGGATTTCCTCGCCAGAGGGGGAGCCGTGACGGAGCGGAGCGGAGAAGCTCGCTGAGGTGGTGTGAGTGGTGCCGAGTCAGTCGCAGACTGGAGTGCCCTGTGAGAGCAGGGGACGGACCGAACGAACGAACGAACATACTGTATATCTAACCGCTCGTGACGCCTCGCACGCCGTCTATCTGTCCGTCTGTCCGCCTGCCTGCCTGCCTGCCTGCCTGCCTGCCTGCCCGCCTGCCTGCCTGCCTGCCTGCCTGTCTGCCTGCCTGCCTGCCTGACTGACTGCCTGACTGCCCGTCTACTTGCCTGCCTGCCGACTCGTCTGCCTGTTAATTTGTTTCCGAATGTCCTTCCTGCTTCGATGTCATCGTCGTCGTCGTCGTTCTGGTGTTGCTGCGTTCCGGTGCTACTACGTTCTGTACCATCTGCTTTCATGACGCGCCGCGTCGCGAGTAGCGAGCCGCTCCATGTCGCAGCGAGGAGAAACGCCGACCTAGCTATCGCGCGTCGTCGCTGACCGCAACGTGCATCTCTACTCGAACCAAGCAGGAACTCGAGACTAAAAGTGTGTGTCCAAGTATGGCGCGATGACGCCCTGTTGTTGATGAGCGCGCGGTTAGACCGAAATGTGCGTCATGAGGCCGAACACGGCCGAACAGGACTCCGAAGAGGCACCCTGATGGCAACTGATCGCCGGAGATTGTTCGTCGCGCTCCCATCGCCCCGTCTCGTCTTTCCGTATGTCGCGACGTCGCCACGCGTAAAGACACAGTGAGCGGGAGAGAGTGAAGTGCGTGCTACGTGCGCTTGTGTTTCGATTCCTTCATATTCCGCGTTGTTGTATTAGCTGAAATTGAAAGATAGAAAACTGGACGTGGACTTTAGACATGTCGGCGTACGCGCAATTCGGATATTCGTATCCGTCGGCGTCCCAGGTAAGTCGATAAGTACCCAGCTCATAATAAGTGCCGAGCCAACAAGTACCAGCCCGTCAAGTAGACGTACGAAACACTCGTTATTGTTCTACTCGACTTTCCCGAGTCTTTGCGATTGAAATCGTCGTTTGCGTAATTTTTTAAAAAGCAGTATCTCCCTCCCTCCCTCACCCTCTCTCTCTCTCACTCTCTCACTCTCTCTCTCTCTCTCTCTCTCTCTCTAGTTGCACGTTTCAAGATTATTTTCTCGGATACTCCAATCCAATGCTAATCGCTGCAATGAGAGTCAAACATTCCCACTTGTCGATCAATCTTGTCGTGGAAATTCGTCGCTCTCGTTCGCTCTCGAAAGTCAAGTTTTAACAGCTTCTCGCGCAGCGCGCGTTAGGTCGCCCAGGCGTTTCGCTCGCGAGATTTCCCGAGATGGTGAGAAGCCGCGATTCTCCCGCGACTTGGTTACCCTTTCCTTCGTCGTACGTAACGCGTGGTCGCGTAATCGCCTGCATGCGCGTGCATTTTACGTAACGTTTAATTGACCTACCGAACGCGCTCGTATCGTTCGTACATACCGGCGTGGCTGGAGCTCTCGAAACGAGACTCGATCGTGACTTCGCAGAAGCGGAATTCCACGACTGGTCGTTGCCAATAATAGCGCACAATCAACATTCGCGCGAGAGTTCGCCTGAAGAAAGCGAGATCGCCTAGAGGCGCACCTGCCTGCCCGCTCGCTCGCCCGCCCGCCCGCCTGACTGTCTGCCTCCTGCCACCTTCGTAATGGCTAGGGGGCAAAGTGTCGAGAGCGTACCTGAGGCCTAGCGACGGCCGTCGCTCGACTGCGTGACGCGTCGGTAAGAAGGGCCGCGCGCTCTCGCTAATTGCTATTTAACGTTGAACTTCGCGCACGTGTGATTGTATCTCGCGCGCGTTTTATCCGTCTATATGACGGGATACACGTTGCGCTGAATCGCTGCGACGCTGAGAACTGAAAACGCTCGAACGCACAGTCGCGACACGACACTCGTTCATTTTGCTGAACATGCGACAAGAATATAGACTGGAATTAGCCGTGGCACAACGCGATGCGTCTTAATTTGTCAGCTCTCCCGGTGTGACTTGCGAGGAACGAGAATGAATCACGATTATCTAGGTTAACGCCGTCGACCTTCTGTCGGACGATTATTTGCGATATATCCGGGAAATCAAGGATCGAGTACGGAGCACCTCCGCGCGAACAATATTTTCGGAGGAAATATGCAAAACACCTTAAATAGATGTCCATTGCGAAATATAGGACGCGTTGCTCGGTTATTCGCTCGGCGATTAATCGATCATCGATTCGGTGGGGCGGAGTTCGTGCGGAAGTGGTGCTTCTCCTGCTCGACGATTGATTATTCGAGCGTAAAGTCCTCCTTTTTTCAACACAGTCGTTCGACGTACCCACGAATGGCGCGACGGAACCTGGCCTGTTTTCAACGATGATGATGATCGACACGCGTTCGCAGGTTCCTCCCTGAGCCGAGTAGCAATCAGACAGCTTATATGTTACCTACTCAATAGACATGCTACTTAACGTGTGTGCTTCCTTTTTGCGCGATATTATGTACGTCACATTGCGGAAAAAACATAATTAGTAGTCGAGCAAGAGTCAAGATGGAAATAATCGAAAAAAAGATCTCAGATTGATCCTCGAGCTAATGCGTATAAATGATTAACAGTTTTGCGGAATTTGCATTTTCACGTGATTAGATCAGGTGCAATCATCGATTATGTGTGTGTACGTATAGACACGTAGTTATGGTGATTCGTAGACGGGATCGTGACGACTGCGAGATAGAAGTAAACAGGGTTGGCCTAGCTTCAACCGGCCGAATGGAAACGAGTTTGTTTTCGGCATTAAATAATTTCGCTCATCACGTTATCGCGTCGCGAATCGGATCTGCATACCTCTTCGCGAAAAGCGGCGTTTTAATGCGAGCGCTACGAGGAGCTTGAAAAAACACTGAATTTATAAACGCAACGTTATCCTCGTGTATTTCCGTGCTATCAGCGCTATCAGCGTAAGAAAAGCAGCAATATTCATAAACCCTCGCGCATTCGCCATGGCGGACGTGAGATCACAATGTGCCTGTGTGTGTGTGTGTATGTGTGTGATACATATTCACCCGACGTAAAATCTTCGTTGGACGACTGGCAAGCTTCGCGACGACTATTATCTAGAAATAAATCAGGAAAACGAGATATGCCTCGAAAAACCTATACGAAAAGGTACAACGTCAACACGGCGAGAGATATCGCGCAACGCTCTCGCATAAATTCATGTTTGTAACAATCGCTTGGGGACGCGATATTGAAATGCATCGTTGAATATGCGGGATAACATTAACACTAACAAAATGCCCGGTGATATAACATTATGAAGATATATGCTAGTTGTCGAGTTAAATTAGATAACAGGTAATTAAGATTCCAACGACTCGCGCAGACAATGAATATTCAGCTGTGCGATATTTGTAACATATTTTGCGCTTCAGCCGCGAACACGTATCAAAAGTCAATCGGGAAGCCCAGCCGATCGGAGCCCGAACATCCGGAATTAGCGCACAGTAAGAAATTACTACCACAGACGAGTACTCACTCTGAAAATTCTCCACGAAGTTGGCCGAGTCTACTGTATGTGTGTGTGTGTGTGTGTGTGTGTGTGTGTGTGTGTGTGTGTGTGTGTGTGCAAGCGCATGTAACGCTCGGCAGACTCGACAGACATTTTCCTCCTCGTAACGAGATCGTGACGCCTAGAAATCGCCGAAAGAATTGCGTGCTAAGATCAACCGCAAGTTTGTCGGCGGGAGAAGCCGCGCGATTTCCGGCGACATCCGCCGATGAATTACAATTCCACGCGCCATAATAGGGATGATGTATACGCGCGAGCATCTCGTTGCATCCCGCGGTCGCGCTCGCGTAGAGGGACGAGAGTGAAGGAGATGGAAATAAATAATGCCCGATAAAAGAGATGCGCGCGCACACGTACACGCATTCACGTAAACGTCGCGAGGGTCGCGCAGGTGCAGCCAGCGCCGAAGTCTAGATGGCAATAATACGGGTAGGTAGGTCTCCGCTGCCCGCATCGACTGCCCGCGGAGGACTCGTTGCTGGCTGCGAGACCGGCAACGTGGATTCGGCCGTGCGACATTGTCAAACGTAATAAAGCTCCTATCAGATTGCGATTATCGAAGATGGAGAATCGCGAGTCAGAGATCGCGAGACTCGATCGATCGGGGGGCGAAATTCGAAGTTCGAACGTCTAATTCTGATCTGTAATCCTCAAGCTCTCCGATACAAAGTCGGCTGATATGGGCTCAAGAGGCTCCGCAGAGTATTCCGCAGGGCGGGACGGGACGCGAGACGACGCGAGAGTTCGGGGAAAAGTATGAGGGCTTCGGCGGCGAAACGAGCGGAGAATTTGCATAATCGCGAGCGATGAGCGCGCGGTACCCCTTCGCTTCATAAACAGCCGCATTGCCGATTGATTCATTGAGACGTGAAGTAATCCGAAGAGAAACTCTCCTTACGCCAGGCGGGTAGTACGTTTCCATGTAACTCGCGCCGCGTCAGCATGCATCGCGCTCGATGCGCCGTGAGATTATCCGAAAGTGTTATCACGAGTTCCCTCCGTCTTACGATCTGGGTAATGCGGGGTTATCGAGTGTTAAGGGCCCCTCGAGCGCCAAGCCAAGCACACCCATCGCGCTTCGATTTCGCGAGATATCTCAATGGCGATCGCGTCTCGCGTGTTTCAGCGTTTGGGAGTCTTTTCTTATTCCGGAAAATACGCGTTACCTCCTCAGGAGGAAGGAGCGCGTTCTTGTCGCGCTCCTTTGGCACGTGGTGGCTCGTCTCACCAGGATGAGACATCAGGGTTGTCTCCGGCGCTTTTACAGAGAAATAATCATGAGGATATATTGATCATGATGATACTTGACTGCGCCAATCAGTTGCATTTATCACACGGCAAAAATCTGCGAGAGATCTGTGCGAGTTAACTCGCGCCTGGAACGGGGAATTTCGCGTACCCCGTCCGCGGGGATTGTCCGTAGTCGACGTGTTAAAACGCGGGTTGCAGAAACTCTCGACGCGACGACGAGCCGCGTTTCATTTGATGCGTGTGATCAGCGTTTGAAGTGAGCGAAGTAAGGGGGGAGCCGCGGATGCGCGGCGAGAGATTGTGTGCGCCGTTGGAGCGCTTCAACGTAGTTGATCAACGCCGCGTTACCGCGTATGCGAGCGCGGTAATTACGTATAATTATCTAAATGGCGTTACGAAATTTGTTATGGTTCGCGGGCACGAACTGCGAGATAATCACCGTCTTATAGCGATCATTTCCAAAGCATACGTGATAATTAATATTTATGCTTTACTCACGACACTACCGGCCGTGATAGGCAGGTCGGATCGAGTCGCGCGAGCGGATTATAAATATTCGAAGTTTGACCTTTTCCTATATGAGGTGATTCATCTGTTTGTCGCTCTCGATCTTCAAGTTCCGCCATTAATTTCCTTCGAATGTTTCACTCGTGTTGAAAAAGATACCGGAGATACCACATACGCGAACAATGAGCCCACATACCACCATCGCGAGGGTATGTCCCTTACCTGTCTGGCTCTATCACTGGCTCTCAGGGAAAAAAAGTTTGGACAAAAATCGTTTAGTTTCCGAGTAATTTGTCCCGTGGTCACAAGGAGGCAGGTCCTCTCACTGAACGCCCGAAGTAGCTATCCTGCAAAATGAGAGCGAGAGCACTACATCTCGGAACCGTTGGAACCCTTTTTTTGTTGGGCGCACTTCGGGACACAGCCGGATGGTCGTCCCCATGGGAACCTATCTGAAAATTTCCCAGGAACCGAAGTTTTTCTCACTTTCTCCGGACACTCGCTGCGTTTCAGATTGCACTCGAAAGGAGCGTCGAAACGATTTTGAGACCCAGTGTACATTCCGTCGCACGAC